TAAAAACATTATATTTATTAAAAAAAGGAAATAAAAGTATTTTGTTGTGAAGCGCTGTTAATGTTTGAAACATGAGGAAATTTTCCAAACAAAGCAACTTTGAGAGAAAAAAAATGTTATGTTTAATTTCTTCACGTTTCAATGAGACTGAAACCTAGGCAGTATTTTGCTTTGACCACATCTTCATTTTTCCTGTTGCACTCTATTTTTTCTTCCCCAGTGTATTCATAGCTAGATCCCTTTCCTCCCAGGACTTTGTTTCACCAAGAAAAGGAACTTCAGCTTGGTTCAATCCTCCTCTTCAGGCACAATTATTTTCCTGGTTCCTCTGCAGACAAAGCACCTCTGTCCGTGTTCAGACATTCTCTACCCCACTATTCCCACTCTCCTTATATGTGAGTGTATTCGTGAGCCACATTTTAGTATCTGCTGTCAGAAAGAATACAGATTTGTGGTGTGCAACATCTCTGACAAGTCCTGCCAGCGCATGTGTTCATCTAATGCAGAGGAGCTGAACCTTCCTGGACAGGACGCTATTAATCTTCTCCCTGCAGTGGGCAAGCATTGCAATCTGCAATCCACTCCTTGCCTGTGCCGATGTAGTACGGGTGAGGCCCCTGCACCAGCCTTGATGCTGGCCTTATAGGCAACTAAACGAATACTTTAAGTCCTGACTTACGAGATCTTGGTATTATATTAGTTCCTCCTCCCACTAGAGATAACACAGTGCAATGAACATCTGAGGAAGGTCAGAGCCCAGGGCTAACTGATGGTTCTCCTAGCTGTGCTGATCAGGAGTGGCACGGTGGGGCTCTGGCAATGCCTATCACGGGCAGTGGGAGTGGGTTTAGTTCCTGCACGGGGAGGATTGGGGCTGCTGAGTAAAGGACTCCTTGTGAGGCAGCAGGGATAGGGATGGGGGTTTAGAGGGGAAGCTGGTCCCAGTCAAGTAGACTGTTGTAGCTGCGAAGACGTGGGTACTGAAAACTGCCAAATGGGACCACAAGCTGTCTCCCCATGTTCTGGCTAGGTTAGGCCTGTCTTCAGAGGCAACATTAGGCAGATCAGGTGTCAAAGCAAGCAAAGGGTGTGTGCTATTATAGGAACGCAAACTCTGGGTGCCCAAACATGCAGCTATTACTTCGCATGCCTGCTGAATTCCTATGTCATAAGAGTTAATTCAGCCAAACATGATGATTTAGCTATAACTCATTTTTGGTTTTTCTTTTGTCATTTGTATGGACATGAAAAGAATTAAGTAAAACCTAGATTTGAACCTTGTATCTCATCCTTTCTGACCTAGATTCAAATGAAAAAAGAAAAGATTTTTAAGGCTTCCAATCTCAAAAATGCACTGCAAAGAGAATTAATTTCCTGACTAATGTAGGGGTCATGAAGACAGTGCTTCAGTTCTGCTTACATTGATCCATCAGACTAGAAGGTCACTAAAAAATAGTCTTCTTTAATCATGAAGGTAGTTTTTAGGTTAAGGATGGGGACATGATGTGCCTGGAGTAAAATGGCCCTTCGTCTAGGACTGGGCTTTGATATTTCTCACTGTGTGCTTACACATGAAGCTCTGTTTCAGAGGGGACTTTTGAATCTTACCGTTACAGAAATAAATACTCACAATAAGCATCCTCCTGTTTACTAGGTATTTGAGAACACTTTCCTCTCTAGGGGACCAAAGCACTGTCATAATCACCAGGGGCTGAACTGGGTAGAATTGGAGTTGATCTGGCACAAGACACCTCTTTCAAGGGCAGGCATAAATGACATGGCAAGGGGATTGGAACTAGATGATTTTAAGGTCCCTTCCAACCCAAACCATTCTGTGATTCTATGATTTTTTGCGTATTACATTATTTCAAAAAGTCAGTGCTTTGTGTAAGTAAATTTGCCTGAAAATGCAAAACCCCATCCATAATTTGAGTGAAAAGAAATAATTTCTTGCATAGACCCTTCACTTCTTTCTTCCCTTCACAGCTTTGTTTTTGAACATTTCCTATTTTCTCAGTGCTCAATATTCACCTCTGTGCTAAAAAAATGTTCTTTTAGTGATTTTCCTTTTGGTCCTTTACCTTCAGATCCATCATTAATGGTGTCCTGGAAAGAAGAGAATTACCTGTATGACAGTGGCTATGGTAGCACAGTAGGTAACTAACATCACAATACCTCATGTATTTCTGAGAAGGTTTTATTGTTGTCTAAGGCTATTACTTTAAATGTCTTCTCTTTAATTCCCAGAGCTGCTGGACAGTAAAACATTCTGTCGTTCTCAGATTTCTATGACGACACCTAGTCACCAGCCTCCTGGTAAGGAACTTGTAATTATGTTGTTAATTGTTTTGTCACTTGTCCCAGAGCTACCGACCTGTAATCGTCTCTGTAGTCTTCTGTTGTAGGACTGAATCTGAGCCTCCAGTAATTTTGAACTAAGCAATGCCCCATCCCTGGCAGTGTTCGAGGCCAGGCTGGACGGGGCTTGGAGCAGCCTGGTCTAGTGGAAGGTGTCCCTGCCCATGGCAGGGGGTTGGAACTAGATGATCTTTCAGGTCCCTTCCAACCGAAGCTGTTCTGTGATTCTATGAATACTGATTCTGACAGTTCTTTTAGCTGTCATTTTGGTAATAGCTTGCTTTAAAGAAATGCTTCTCTCTGAGAAAAAAGGAAGATCAAATAATCTGCAATCTCCACGTCTTTTAAAGTGACTGAGTCAAAGGGGAAGGTGTTAGTGTCAGAGAGACGAGACGTACACTTTTCTGTGGTGCAGCTGAGTATGGGTAAATGAGTGCCCTGTTCCTCCCCAGAAGTGACTGTGTTTCCCTAGGGAGTGAGTGGTTCATGCTTAGCAGATTGCTAGGTTTGGGGCTGGGTTTGGGAAGCCACAGGGCAGGCACCAAGCCCTCTGCCCAACTGCACCATAAGAAGGGATTCCTGGTGGCACCTGCCTTAATGGAGAGCAGGGTGGGCACCCCATGCCCCTTCACCCGTGCACCGCGCTTCCACAAGGCAGAGATACAACCTGCCTGCCAAAGGGCAAGAGAAAGAGCAAACCTGTTTGCTATAGTGCCCAGTGGAAGGCAGGTCTTTCTTAGAAGGCTGGATGAACAGACCTGGGAGAGAAAGCAGTGAGAGCCATGGGAGGATGAGAAAGGCAAGCGCACTGCGGTAGGTACAGCCTCGCGAGTGCTGCCTCTGTGCTGGGGGCAGCCCTGCGCCACTATAGCACAGCCTCTGTGCCTGCCTGTTTGCTGCATCCCCTGGCCTCCCAGCAACAGCCAGACTTGCCAAGCGACTTACAGTTTAAACCAGTGCACTCAGCCAGAAATTTAAAATTAAAAAAAGAAGAAAAAGAGAAAACCTGACCAGAAGAAAGCCACCGAACCTTAGAACACCTCAAGCGCTCTGTTTGCTTTCTCTGCCACCTCCACCCACTCTCACAAGATAGCTACGAGGATTTTGGAGCTCTCCGACAGGACTGGAGACCTGTCAAGATCCTAGCACTGTGTGTTTACCTGCTGACTGCTTAAGCCTAGAGCTAGGGTGGCACGCCAAGGGCACAGCCTCCTGTAAAAACTGAATTTGTATATCCCGTAAAAAAATGGCTCATTCCTGAATCATATGCAAATACTGTGCAACCTTTTGTCAAAAGTTTTGCAAGACAGCTTTGTTGAAACTGCATCGTAACTCTTCTCATCTGTCAGGCCCCAGCCTCCTAACGTGGCGTGTTTGAAACCAGTCTTCCCATAGGAGCAGGGGCAGAGCAGGAGGCTATTTACACAGCTGAAATCCAGAATAAATCACCAGCTAGGCAGAAGGCAACTGAACTTCCAAGAATAAATCTCCAGCTAAGTGGAGCATGACAAACATTTGCAAGTGAATTGTGGGATTTTAAAATGAGACAGATTTATGTAAGAGGGCAAATAAGGGCCTGGTCCTGCTGTCCTTGCTTGGGGTTTGCACGGATTTTGATAACATCAGGGGAATCATAATCTGAGGAAAGGCAGTAAAATAAACCTTATTTTGCTTTCCCTCTCCAAGCTGAGTGAGGTTCAGGCTGTTTTCTGCTCTTCTTCTTGGGGGTTAAGGACAATGATCGTGTCAGGCTCAGAATAGTGGAAATTAGGCTTATCCTCACTGACCTGCTCAGTTTATATTTCCAGTTATGTATGAATAAAGTGAGTGTGTGAATAACTTTGCATCTACCTTTTCACATGCAGTCATTGCAGTGGCTTGTGCAAATCCAGCAAGTTTCTATGCAAATGAATATTTCCTGTGAGTCATTTTCCCATGCAAATACCCAGTTTCCATGAAAAGTATGATAATCATGCATTCATAGAAGCTGGGAAAACATGCGTGGGACCTCAAGCTTCACTTCATGGAATTCAAGCACAAAGCACGCTGAAAAGCAAACACAGAACGGGCTCCCTCTCAGGACTATCCCACAGATTTTGCGAGTCTTAGAGCGATCAGATGAAAGCTATGCATTAATGACAAGAGCAGAGCCAGGCTGTGGTGGTTTGAGGGCAGGAGGGTTGAACGTGCAGACTGCGAGGTAGGTTACAGCCATGAACAGGCGGGACTTTCTTTTCCTTCATTTCTGAAGAAATACTTGTGCCAGAAACCCTGTTCCTCCTCTGTCTGGCTGCAGGTGATAAAGTACCATTGATGAGAAATGGCTTGTTCCTATGGCTCTGAGCCATGGAACAATATATGCATGTCCAGCTGCCAAAAACGCCCACCAGTGCAGCCCTGTTCCCCCACCCGCAAACAACAATGCTTTGCCAGTTCATTACGTTTTAGTCAGGTAGGTGTTCCATGCATTGGTACCAGCGCATACATTTCACATTAGATCACCACTTCAGAAACAAATAAGCCCCCAAAGATACATGCTTCTGCAAAGACTAAGACATAATGGGACAATTCAGGATTCCTTTTATAGACATGATCGTCTTATTTTTCTCTCTCACACACATAACATAAGGTGAGGTATTTGTTAATCAAATTTAGGTTTCAAAAGCCAAATGTTTACCTCTGGCTTCATTCTTTATTCATCAATGGTCTCTTTATGAAGTGTGCTGATTAACATACAGCACAGAAAACAAAACTCTCCCCCTTCCTCCTCACTTAGATTACCTTCTTGTTAGTGATTATCTTTAAAAGAGATATTTGTTCTTTTTTTGTGGTTTTATTTCTTTCAACCTGCTAGTCAACGGAAAGCCTTTAATCAAACTTACAAATAGGTTTCATTTTCCTTCTCTGCAGAGTCTTCAGATGTGAAAAAATTGCAAGATCATATCCCGAAGTCCCACACCAAGAAGCACAGTAAGTCGACATCTGTGTTTAGAATGGCTGAAGGAAAAGAAACACATTGAAAGCAAATCCCCTTCAGGAGAGAAAAAGGAGCATTTCAAAAGCAAAAGTGGTTAAGTTGTTACTGTGATTGAATCGTCCAAGGATCTGACTGTTTCTAGTACTGTTTGCTTATCATGATTTTTGAGTCAGTATTGTTATGCCTTTCAAATTTTTATCAGTGAGGGCTTATGGGGAAGAAACCAGAAACCAGTTGCCTCTGCCCTGTGTTGAGCTGGGCTGGTGGGCTGGAGTAAAGGAATGATGACGGAGACCCAGGATTAAGTCAGGAAGGTCTGTGTGCGCGCATGGCCATGCTCATGTCCATGCCTGCCGGGGGCAGCATGCCCCAGAGACCCTGCTTAGAATCTTCTTGCAGAACTTCTCATGCATGTCATAACAGGCAAGTACCTGCCCCTCAATCCTGCCACTTTTTTCCCCTCTGATCTGACAGTCTTCCCACTCCTCTCACCTGCTACTTTTGATTCAGCCGGATTCTGAAGACATGTTACCATAACTGTGATTTCTGGACATAGTTCTGTTATGTACTTTACTGAGATTTTAATGCTGAAAATATCTTGTGCATGTCTTTTGCATCCTGCATTATTCCTTATCTATATTAGAAAATGTTAATATCGGACCTTTGCTGCATTTTGTACTATTTGATTTCATCCTGTTTTAATTTGGTCTCCAGGTTATCTGTCTCTTCCTGACTCCTCTTCTTACCCTGCTCTGTGACTTTGCCCAGCCAGAACTCCCGAACTTCTTATCTGCAGACAGATATCTTGCTGCTTTTTTTTTTGTTGGTGTGTGTGTGTCTATCAAGGTTGCTAATGAAAGGATTAGGTAGGACTTGTCTGAAGACACACCTGTGAAGATCTGAGGTCACTTGGCTTGTGCAGCTTAGAGAAGTCCAAGAGGTGACCTCACCGGAGCCTACAGCTTCCTGAGGGAGGGCAGTAGAAGGGCAGGTGCTGATCTGCCTCTGGTGACCAGTGGTGGGACACAAGGAAATGGAATGAAGCTGCATCAGGGGTAGTTCAGATTGGACATTAGGAAAAGTTTCTTCACTGAGAGGGTGGACTGTCACTGGAACAGTCTCCCCAAGGAAGTAGTCAGAGCACCAAGCCTCTTAGAGTTCAAGGAGTGTTTGGATGAAGCTCTTAGTCATATGGTTTAGTTTTAGGTAGTCCTGTGAGGAGCGGGAAGTTGGACTCAATGATCTTTATGAGTCCCTTCTGACATGAGATAGTCTATGATTCCAAGAACTCAGTCACAGCCTTGTCACGTGGAAAAGGTCACCTTGCCATGACGGGCTAATAATTTCCAGTTTCATCAGTACTGCTCTGTATCATGATCTATTGATTATGTTAAGCATGTCCAGATAGACTAGGTCCACCACAACTTGTTGATTCTAGAAAACAATTATAACAAAGAAACATAGCAATTTAATTGATGTTGCACTGTACACGATTTTCTGTTTACTTTCACATCTTCGACTAGCTTATTTCCTTCTTAATTTGGTCTAAATACCCTTGCATGCTTTTGAAGTCAGGCCAAACAACTGCTATCTTTCTGGCCGACCTCGCCACTGTGTTTGTTATTCTTCATTCATAAACTACTACATCTGACTTGCTTGATTTAATATTTTGCTTTTTGACCTGGACTTTCTGGTGCCGTCCCTACAGTAACCGTGGGAGGGATTTGCACTTAAACTAGGAGGTCTACCTGATGAACTTAGAGATCTGGTTTTGCCTTTTCTAACGTTGTCAAACTTCTTTAAAAGCTTTTCACATGCAACATTGGCTGGCCAGTTTTGTCATTATCCTTCTATCTATTCTACAACTTCTTCTTTAAGTCTGCTTAAGAGATGTGGGACCAATACTCATTGATGTCGAAGAGCATTTCACCTCCTTTGCCTTCTGTCTGTCTTCTAAAATCTTATCTTGGCTCTTTCACATATCACATGATAATATCAGGTTATATGCCATGCTGTAGAAGAATATCAGGAAAAATGGGTAAATGAGATGAGGGGAAGACTTAAGCATGTTATCTCCGGGGCAGAAACAATGCCAAAGGCAGGAGGAAGCAGTGGGTGGTTTGGATTCTGCTGCTTCTGGTTGCTGGGGCTCCTATCTGCCGCCATGGGGCTCAGACTGCTGAAGGCTGACACTTACCTCCAACCTCAGTGTAAAGGCTGTCAGTGTTTTTTGGCTATCTATCTCTGAGGTGGGGGTCCTGCACTCCAAAACTATTGCCTGTCCCTACCAAGTGGTCACCATCTGTAGGTTACACACTGTAAGAGCGTGACATAAAATGGCAAGCATAAGCTGGAAGGCTCTTTAGATACTCCTTCCTCCTGCCTCCTGTCCTCTTTCAGACCCTCGAGGAACTCATCTTTGGGAATTTATTCGAGATATTCTTCTCAATCCTGAGAAAAACCCAGGATTAATCAAGTGGGAAGATCGGTCAGAAGGTGTCTTCAGATTTTTGAAATCTGAAGCTGTGGCTCAGCTCTGGGGAAAGAAGAAGAATAACAGCAGCATGACTTATGAGAAACTCAGCCGGGCTATGAGGTGAGCAGAGATGTTGTGGCAGAAGACTGAGGCATGTAAAGAGACTACCTGAATGGAGAATTTGTTTGACTTTTAAAAATGAATTTTCAGCAGCACCAATTGTTTTCTTTGACAGCTATTTCCCAATAATTTTGAGATTGTAACATTATGTTCTTCTGTGTCTTTCCTTTCCCCTCCTATTTCTGTACACTATAATATATGTAACATACATATGTGTTATATATATATATAATATACATTCTGTTGCTCTCCACCCAAACAACCAGTGTAGGAAGGAAACACGGATGTAGCAAGCTGAAAGTTCACATGCTGCTAAACCAGGAAGGCTTAAATGGGCCAGTAATGGCTGGACACCTTGTTATTTCCATCACTGTTCAGAAACCAGACATACCACCATCCATTACCTTAAAAAAGTTTTACAAAATCAGTGAGAGGATTTTCTTTGCTCTCTGCTTTAACATTTTGAGCATTTTTCCATACTCTTTAGAAGTTCAAAATGTATTTTCAAGTGGAAGCTGACGTTCTCTACTGGTCTGATTTCAGGTGCTGACTTACCTGGAAAAAAATCCCCATGAAATCTCATAAGAATATGTAATAAACATAGCTATATGCTATGACCTGAAATATAGTGAAATTCAAACTCAGAATGTAACTAATATAAAGAAAAAAGAAGACATCAATTTTTTCTTCTCTTTCTGTTATAATAATCTTAGGTATTATACGTATCAATAGAAAATAAAGACTTTTCAGCTAGCTGAGGGATTGCCTAGTTGGCAGTGGCCTTTTAGGACCTTAGGTGAATGTAATGTTAAATCTTTCTCTATGTTTTTATTTCAACAGATACTATTATAAAAGAGAAATCCTGGAGCGTGTGGATGGTCGGAGATTAGTGTATAAATTTGGAAAGAATGCACGTGGCTGGAGAGAAAATGAGAATTAAGATGTCAAGAAATACCATTTAGAACACCTGGATGTAAATATTCAAAGACTATTTTCTTATATTTATGTACCAAACTAGGGTGAAAAGCCAATTCTACTTCTGTCGGGAAGAAGGAACATTATCATTATTGGTGTTAAAATTATTTTATTTGAAGTATGTCCTGTATGGGGAAAAAATGTACACAGTTTTCTGTGATATAAGTTAACATTATAGAATTATGATTATTTTTCCCTTCTTGTGAAGTTTTTCTCTTTTTTTTTTTTTAATCATACAGGCATAATGTGATTTATGACTTATGCAAAGAAAGGGAAGGAGCTAAATACTAGGGCATTTAGGGAGTATGATAACCTACTTTGGAAGGCAACTGTAAGTGGAGGAAACAGTAAAGCATCTCTGAGCCAAGTAGTCTTCTTCCATAGTCAGCTGGAATATAGCTTCCATTGGCCGATACTGCTTGTTCCTCACCTCCTCTGATTTCTGAGTATTTTAACACTTTTGCTGGCTTCTAGTTGCTTTTGTTGAATCAGATGATGGGTTCCTCTTCAGCTAGCTTATCCTAGCCACTGAGAGCAGTGGTGCTGCAATGTGGCTGTCAGCATTTATTTGGAGAACCAATCCTGCTTCCTCCACTGGGACCTTCTTCAGTAGGCAGAAGTTTAGGACCTGACCTTACCTGGTACTGAGCATCCTCCCTAATCTCCAAAGGGCATTCAGCTCATCCCAGGAAAAGGGTTATTTGTTTTTAACTAACATCTTTGAGGTGAACTGCAGGAAAAGAGTCAATCTCAGGGACCAGAAGCTATTGAAAGAAGATAATTGTTTTCTGACTGGGCAAACTTACTAAAAGGCACCAGTTTCCCAGTAGAAATATTAATACTCCTTCTACCTTCTTATATGCCTAATTAAAGCATTCACATCCATGCCATACGAAACAGTGAGGAGGTGGGCAAGCAGAATTTATACTAATCTCATGGCATGAGAGAGAGTCTCCCCAGTTCCTTCAAGTCGTGTGGTCCTCCTGGCAGGTCAAGTCTCACTTGGACAGATAGTTTCAAAAAACCTTTGAGAAATGCAAAGCTCTATTGCATGTAAAACGTTAGTTCTCCCTACTTTTCTCAAGTCTAACTCTATATTCTATTTGTATTTGTCAACTGTGCTTGGAACTTTTGGTTTGGGGGAACCCATCAACGTAAAGACACTGAGATTTTGTGGACATTCAGATCTGGGTCAGTATTTTGGGCTCATCTCTAGCAGTCCTATGTGGAGACTGAATGTTCACTGGCAGCTTTTTTCTTCTCCAAGTCACAAATGCTTCCTGCTGGTACCAAACACATGTAGAACATAGGGAAATAAAAACCAGAGGAGGCAGCACTTCACTAGGTCACTGAATACAACTCCCACACATGTGGGAGTTGAGAAACAGAATTTTCTTAGTGATATTAACAAAGATGAAACCAAGATCAATTCCAAACCACTTTTTCAGGGATGGGGAATCTGGAAAACAGGACAGAGGCTGAGAAGTCCAGGACAAAAAAGAAAAAAAAAAATTAAGAAAATTAAGAATATTAAGTCCATCCAATATCCATTTCCTCAGGTGTCCCCTGGATGTAAATCCATATTAGCTTAAAATATAGCAAAGTGCAGCTGGAGGTTGTAGGATATTCCATTTTTTGTCTTAAAAGGAAATACAGATGAAAACAAGAGACAACAGAATTATCAATATAAATGGTATCGAATGTGCTTAGAAACAATTTATAGGCAAACATGAGAGCCTAACTTGTTATCTACACATGTAGGGCATGTCAAACAATAACACCACCTCCTACACTGTGTTTGCCAGAGCTGTCACCATCAATTACCCATACAAGACAATTTTTACTTTTCATAACCTGGGTGGAGAGAGGTTCATCTAGTTTACAAATCAAATAATAAGCCTCTGTACTTCAAAGCATTTCTTCTCTCAGTCTATCTCTCTTTTTTCTTCCTCTGGACCGACTGTGCTAGCCTTGCTTGCTTTTGCGCAACTCAAGAATTTCTTTCTTTTTAGCTCTATTAGCTACATTCCACTTCCTTTACCATCATTTTGTAGTGCACATAACAAGAACCAGGACACCAGACAAAGAGAGCATCTTCTCTTTGCTTTAAAGACTGTTCCTTCCCCCCACCCCATGGTTATTTGCAGCCCTTTGCTCCATGCTCTTCACCCCCCGCCACTCCCCCTCCACATCTGGAATGAAATCTGAAATCACTGGTACAATCAAAAATCCACACTACTGTTGGACCTTATCTCAGGAACATACATCTTACAGCAACTGATTGTAATGTCTTCATAAAGCTTCTTTCTATCAGACCTCTCACCAAACTTCTGGGGAGAAAAAAAGAACTTGTGATAGACACGTGTCACCACTTGGTTACAGAGCAGCAGCTAAACCTGCTTTTAAAGGTTTTGAAAGGTAAAGCTTTATTTAGAAGCATACTGTATAAATCTAGAGGGTGATTTATGTTGGGTGCAGTACAAATGTCAGTCTTCCACTGTCACGTCATTCAGCACATGGAAATTGTGCAAGTTTCTATTCCCATTCTGCAGAACTTTTCAGATTAGGTACTTGTCATTCAGCATTACAATAGCACAAAGTTGGAATAGAAGCCAGCCAACATTTACTCTGTTTTACAAACATATTAACCTTTGCCGAAGACAAACACAAAGGACTTCTCAAAACTACAGTTCTTGCCAAGGACAGATCCAACCAGCCAAAGGGAGTTGTTTTGGTTTTTTTTTTTACCAAACCTAAGCAAATGGAGAAAATGAAGAGTTGAATGTTTATGTAAAGTACTATTTAAACAAAAAGCATTTCTGATTGCTCTTTTGTATTTCAGAAGCTGAGCAATCATATTTTTAGATGTATCCTTTGAGTTAGCAGCTGCTGAACTGGTAGCACCATGTGTATAGATTTTTATTGTACCATAATTTTTCATATGTATAAAGCTCTAGATTGGAAAGTATATTATATTTATATAGTTACATGCAAATCACAATGTTAAACGTGTTGGCATGAGCACTCTCAAACTTACATTTTCTGCACAAAAATAGAGCAACTTACTCTGAAAACATCCTGAGAAACTCTATGTAGGCTGGTGAACCACCCAGACATTAAAATGTTTAGTTACATTTTCATCTTCCTTTCTGCAGCACATTGCATAATTCCTGCTTGCTTCTCACAGCATCATCTTCAATGTATACGTGTGGAAACAAATCCAAGTTAGATATTTCACTATGCCACTGTAAATCTCAGCTCGGAGGCTATGTATCACAAAATGGTTCTACAGACTGTTTCTATTTTTGTGGATGTGATATAAATTCAAATAAAACATGAAAGAAATTTTCTGATTAATATTTATCTTCACCTTTTTATGTCTTGAGATGGGAAGTGACTAATACAAATTCTTTCTATACTGGAGAACATTGTAATATTGTTGAAAGGGCTGATGTAACTACCACAAAATCCAAAAGCTTAAATTTACTAGTATGTTGCATAGCCCATGTGTTGTGAAGATACTGGATTTCCAAACCTGTTTTATGTCTCACAGGCCTTGCTGGAATACTCAATTATGTCGACACAGATAGATTGCCTTTCTTGTTTGGCTGCTAACTTTACAAAGGTCTTACTTCAGCACTGATTTAAGTTTAAGGTGTTTTGAAGTGTGTGCAAGGGCTAGGCTGATTAAGGATGCTATTACTCACCCTGAGCATTTCCTTTACTGAAACAAAGCAGCTAAAACTACGAAATCCTGTACTTCATGTTATTTTTCCATCTAACTGGCAGCTACAAGAACACTCAGAGAGGTCAAGGGAGGGAATTCTCCCCTTCTACTCTGCTCTGGTGAGATCCCCACTGCAGTTGTGTGTCCAGCTCTGGGGCCCCCAAAACAACAGGGATGTGGACCTGTTCAAGTGAGTCCAGAGGAGGCCACGAAGATGCTCCAAGGGCTGAAGCACCTTTGCTACGGAGGCAGGCTGAGAGAGCTGGGCTTGTTCAGCCTGGAGAAGAGAAGGCTCCAGGGCCTAAAGGAGCCAACAAGAAATCTGGAGAGGGGCTTTTGACAAGCGCATGTAGTGACAGGACAAGGGGGAATGGCTTTAAACTGGCAGAGCGGAGACTGAGATTAGGTATCAGGAAGAAGTTCTTCCCTGTGAAGGTGCTGAGGCGCTGGCACAGGGTGCCCAGAGAAGCTGTGGCTGCCCCATCCCTGGCAGTGTTCAAGGCCAGGTTGGACACAGGGGCTTGGAGCAACCTGCTCTAGTGGAGGGTGTCCCTGCCCGTGGCAGGGGGGTTGGGACTAGGTGAGCTTTAAGGTCCCTTCTAACCCAAACCATTCTATGATCCTATGAACATCTCTCCTGATTTGGTCTGCAGCTTGAGGAAAAAAGTGAAAATCCCTATACTTAATAGAAAGTCATTGGGCCTGCGTGGTGTTCACACTGGGGTGGGAGCTGTGGCTACATCAGTACAGTGCAAGAGTGCAGTGAATGGACCTGCAACGAGCCAACCTGTAGCCCTGCCTTGCTGGGTACCTCAGCACAGCTGAAGTTGGGCTTGAATTGGAAACCATGAACGTCACTGCAATGGGACAAATCACACTGTCATGCTGTATAATCTACAAATGTGCTTAATTTTAAGCGAGTGATTCCACTGCATTTGAAATTGTATACGGGGATGTTAATGAGGATGGTGGCTTCAACTGTTCCGACTACATGGACTCGTCCTATATCTGGACCCAGAATTTCAAGAAACTCCAGCATTTTGTCCACCTAAGTAGGAGAACTTGTTTGAGTTTTAAACACAGGCACAACCTCTACGTTTAGCATGCAAAGCCAGACCTGTGCCCTGGAAGAGTGGTCACAGTTTGAAAACCTGGGAGGCCCTAGCAAGGTTTCAAAAGGAATTGGAACCATATTTCAAGCAAGTTCAGGCTGAATTTTAAGTAAGCACGCAGCTAGTTTCCCAGTAAATTACCAGGCCTTTTGTCTGTAGCAAGCTGAGGCCAGTATTGGAGAAAAGACAAATAAGAATATCGTTTGGAAACATGCAAATAAACACACACTTAAAAAACTCCTAACTCTTCTTTTGTTGTGACTTAAAATGAAGCAAAACTTCAGCTTTCAGCTGCGTTCTAAAGCCATATGAAACGAAAATTCAAGGAAAAATTCAGAGCTTGCAAATCCTGTGTA